ATGACATGAACAATTTTAGTATATAAAATGCCAACGTCCATACCATGTTGAATACACCGGTTCTCGTCCGATCACCGAAGTTAAGCAACATCGGGCGTGGTTAGTACTTGGATGGGTGACCGCCTGGGAATACCACGTGATGTTGGCTTTTTGCTGACCATTGCTAAAATTCAAAGTAACTTTTGCAGATGATAATATTTTACTGTACATTTTGTAAATTAATTCTGTTGTCACTGAATTTTTTGGTACAATTGAAAAATTGTTAGTATCACAATAATTATGTTGAATACCTAGTAACAAAACAGGATAACGAAATTCATTGGTAAGTATTTTATAATAGTAGTTTAGTTAGTTTTATTTTTATTTTATTTTTTTGCCGGCTAAACTGCGGGTGGTTTACCAGACTCTTCGGAAGCATTTGGCACCATTTATGATCAGGTTTTAAGCTTTACCCAGTGGTGTAAGAATGTCCTCAAGTAGGTAAAATTATAGTTTGGGAGTATTGTATAATAATAAGAACTGTATGAAAGTGTATGAGTTCAGACATTTCATTTTAGAACTTATTGAAAAATGAAATATTTTACAAGGGAAAAAGTGACATGAATGGGTAATAAATATCAAGGATAATAATGAAATGGCGAAATTGGAAATCCAAATAAATAGATAAATTTATTGTTTAATGTTTTAATTGAAGTTTTTGTTTTTAGAGTATCACTCTTATCACGAAATGTAATAATTGTGTGACAAACATTTTAAACACGTGACAACAACAACAAATGTGTATAAAATATTTGTAACATAATATATATGTGAAAGCTTGGCCACTGTTAAAAAAAATGTGTGTACCAGAGTACCGCCTTGTGGTATCCTTAATACCCTGGATTATTGTCTCAATAGCAAAATATTCACATAAGCCACGATTGCCAAATTAATTCACAAACATCAATTTTGGGAAAACTGCAATAGCAGCTCTATTGCAGCTTTCTCGTAGTTTTAGGTAAACTGAATCTAATTCTGAAAAGTTACAGAAATCACACATTGATATCAATACTTTTAGTTAACAATCTAAATTTCAAGTTGAATACTAAATTGAAACTCACTTACAAGTAAACATCAAAATGCAAAAAGCCAACATCACGTGGTATTCCCAGGCGGTCACCCATCCAAGTACTAACCACGCCCGATGTTGCTTAACTTCGGTGATCGGACGAGAACCGGTGTATTCAACATGGTATGGACGTTGGCGATGGAAAATCCACAATTATTACTCTCACTCTACTGACCAATTTAGTCACTAGCAAAAGCAATTAGAACATTTTTTTACATTCTACATAACTTGTTGTCGCCCATAGAAATCTCCCATAGAAATCGTAATATTAAGAGTCTCATTATTACGATTTCTATGGTTGTAGTACTGAACTGCTGAGTTTGATCGGTACCACCATGTTCCTCTTTTATTCCTGCTGGAAATAAACTACCGCCGCCCATAAACGCCTGCCATTCAAGAGTTACAATGAGCATCAATTGTGGCTCTGCTGCGGAGCATACTCCCTAGCAGAACCACTTAAAACACGTACTAGGACAGATAAGCTACATTTTTTCAATGTAACTACTCGTAATGTACTAATACTGTTTATTGCGTACGTGTTGCGTAACATCGTTATTAAGATGTTGTTTATTGTTTTAGGAAACTGTAACTTTCTTAGAAAGCGCCTAGTTATTTTGTGCTAGCATTTTTTTTTAAATGAACCGTATTAGAACAAAAAAAAATTACCTTCGCTACTTAAGCGAAACTTCGTGTTTGTTACTTTATTTCCATACTAGCTGAGACCCGCGGTGTTACCCGCGTTTGTTGTTATAACCGCGGGCAACGCCGCGGGGCGAAGCTAGTCTAAAACAAGTAGCCTAAGTTACTCCTTATGTCATCAGCTATCTGCCAGTAAAAATCCCGTCGAAATCGGTCCAGCCGTTCCAGAGATTACCCGGAACAAACAGACAGACAGACAAAAATTGTAAAAAATGATATTTTGGCATATGTACCGTGTAAAAATACATATGCATTTAGTAAAAAGCGGTTATTTTAATATTACAAACAGACACTCCAATTTTATTTATTTGTATAGAGTATAGATAATAACGATCACAAATAATCTAATAGAACCGTTTCCACGAAGTACCTTATTGACTTAGAAGAATTCTCCACCATCTAAAGAGTCAACCTTTAGATGGTGTAGAATTCTTCTAAGTCAGGTGGACAGAGTTCCCTTGGGGTGTGGCCTAGTTAGTTTTTTTTTTTTAAAAGACAACTTCCGCATTAGGAATAAATCCTGTGTCGCGGGGGACTTTACAAACATACATGAAACGGACACAAAGAACACCCAGACTCAGAACAACAATTTGTGGATCACACAAAGTGTCGTCCCATGTGGGGTTTGAACCCACAACACTCGGCGTAGTAGGAAGCGGCGTGGCGACCGCTTAAACCACTACGCCATCCGTGCAGTCAAACGCAGTTGAACGCAGTCAAACGCAGTTGAACGCATTCTCTACCAGTCGGTAGAGATTGCGTTCATAAATATCTTAAATAATATCCTTGTACAGCGGTGGGCAGAGAGATAATTCCTTAATATTGTAAGGGAAAGGTAATTACGAAGGAATTATTATTAGGATAAAGAGATATTTAGCTATTAATAAAAACGTACAGCAGCATTTAATAGTTCACTTTACTAGACACAGGCCTCTCCTTAGAAAGGAAATTTCCTTACGTGGGTGTCGTAAGAGCCAACTAAGGGAGCAAACTACGCTGGACAACAGCACTGCAAAGACAGCGGAAACTCGACACAAACCCTATACCAACAAGTTTGGCTAGCGTGGTATAGTACGTCAAAACCTCCTTTCTAAGGAGAGCCTATGGCCAGCAGTTGATGATGATGATGATTAGTATACGAGTACTGTGTGTCCTATTTGTAAAAAATATCACAGATATATATTCAACTAAACCCTATTTCAGTACACCTTAAGCCGAAATTAGAACAATTAATTTTTTTATAGCGCCTAATTTTTTTTAAACCAATTACGATTCTTCGTGCCTCGTATCATGCTGTATAATCTTTTTTGTGCACAATAATTATTGTACACTATTAACAGGATAATATAACTGACTAATCACCGCGCTAAATTAATTTTTGTTTACTTTTTTTTTTCATGCTACAAGTACAACTCCCCGGAGTTGTACTTGCGTTGTTACGAGAGTTTTGTTTCTAAATATACTTTTGTATTTTGTGGAGGGAAAAAGTTTTTGTATGAAAATACTTGATTATTTGCCGTAAGTGAGGTTGTCTGAGGTCCTAACTAAAATTTCATAAAATAATTACTTTATAGAAGTTTGCCTAGCACTACCAACCTGTGGAGCAAGTTATCGGCTGCTACCTTCTTCCCCAAAGGCTGGTAACTCGCTTGTGACTCCTGAGTTGCTTGTAAAATTTCAACAGTTTTTCCTTTAAAAAATGTACCCATATTGATGGATAAATAAAATTCTGGTCTGTTTTTTCTGTTTTTATGTCCAATTTTAAGGAATTCAATAATCACTCAGAAATACGACAGATGTTCAGAGAAGCGTTTTGATGTGTAATATCGCGGGAGAGCCATGATTTCGGCACAAATGGGAAAGGCTGGACCGGAGTGGTACCACGGCCTCATAGGAAACCGGAGATAAGCAGTTCTTTCGTTGCTTTTACAGAGTAAGTGAGTTTACATGACCCTAAACCCTCTCCTTACCCTAGATTCTGTGGCGGGGATTGAAAGGGTGGCAATGCATTTATAACTCTTTAGATGCAAGTATCCATGTGGCGTGGTAGCCGCTTAACATCAGACGACCCATCTGCTCGCATTAACTAAACCTATTATAAAATCCTAACGAACGAATTAAAATCAAAGTAAACAATCAACAATAATCAATGCAAGTAAAACTGCAGGCAATATGCAGTCATTTATAAAACAAAGTAACATCACAAAAAAAACAAAGTTTATTTTTTTAACACTATTATGTAATTACACTGTTATTGGTTTTAGTGTTAAGTCACTAATTATTCCAGATCTTGCAGAGAACAAGAGCTGAATGTGTTTACTTAGTGTTGTTCAAGAATCCACCAAAGTATATACTTTAAAATTTAGTTCTAAAATATTGACGTTATTGTAAGGTAAGTATCTATTTAATTTATTACTATACTTAATAAGTTGGCACTTTTAATTTGAAATAGATAAAAAGTGACATAAAAATAAAGTGTCATTTAGAATCTAAAACAAGAGTACGATGAACTAGGTTTATATTTAAAAGTAAAAGGTTTATATGGTGAACATCTCCTATAAAAATCAAATCAGTATCTTTTTTAAACGTCAACGCTAGACGCGGTACATGTTTTGTACGAAATACTATGCTGTGACGTCATACCTTGCTATTGTTAAATCATATATATATTTAATGTTGATATCAAGATATCAAATCAGTACAAAGATTAAACTGATAATGGAGGAAAATTCAACCTCTACTTTAAGATGTTTCATTTAATGACGCAGCCTGAATAATTTATTTTAAACCTAGGAATCTACCCTACGTAGTGTCTTCTGGGAAATTCTATGAAGATGAAATTGGATTTACGATATACCAGTCAACACCAGGAGATGGTGAAAATTGTTGACACAGTGTGAGAATTCTTCAGATCAGACTTTACTGAAAACAAAAACCACAGTGACTTTAAAAGTATTAGAAAATTTAAAAGTTAAATATTATAAAACAAATATTATAGATATAAATAGGAATTTTCTGAAAACTCCCTTTTTAATGAAAGTGCATTTTATAATCTTAGTAAAAGTAGTTAAAGTTTAAAATTAAAAAAACATTGCCAATTGCCATAGATTTCTAGAAATTATGTATGCGACGGGGAAATCGTACATGAATTTTAACAAAAATTTCATTTTTACAAATGCTTCCTTTCAGAAACATGATCTGGCAGCCTCTGAATCTGACAGAGGCATGTCCAGTTGACACGAATGTCTCATCATGTTCACCATTTGCATATGTGTACCTCAACTTGTTGGTTCAACTGTTTGGTGGTTCCAAAGACCTTAGAATACAAGACAAGTTGAGAGATCAGGATGAGCATGGCAGAATATTGAAGAACATAGACCGAGATACATTTCGGGAGGACAACGACAGAGAAGAATATGATTTCATTGTGGTTGGCGCTGGATCAGCTGGGTGTGTGGTGGCTAACAGATTATCAGCGAATAGCAAATGGAAGGTATGTGGGTTGAAGATAAAATATAAATGATACTCGTACAGAGCATAGGGCAGAACCTCCTTTTTAAGAAAAGGCCTATGTTAACCAGTGAACCATTAAAGGCTGTTGATAATGATGATGATGACTCGTACAGAGGCTGTCTTTTAACATTGATTAGTTAATGTGTGCGACTTTGGTCACGTGATTTTTTCTTATTTCGTGTTTCCAACTTAGAAAATGATGAACTTCCATACAATCGTTCATCCCTTATTTTACGCCCTTAGGGGTATACCTTCCAAACATCCTTTCTCAATTGGTTTTTGACTTATAAGATGTAAAGCATCGGCTGCCATAACTTCAAGTTTTTACCAGCGGCTTAGGGTCTGCGTTGATGAATCAGTCAGCCAAGGTTAGTACTTTTATACCTATAGATATTCGATACAACATTCTGAAGACCATTTCAGAATGTTGTTATAAATTTTTTTAGAAAAAACTGTCAAACTAAAACGTCATATGAATTTTATTGCTGGCAAACTCAAAAACATTGGCATGCCTACCTGTGAAGGGTGTTCTGTCGCCACAATTGTTCACCGACTCCAATTTTTTTCGAATCTGCTTCGTTTTATCCATACTAATATTATAAATGCGAAAGTTTAAATATCATACCATGTGTTCCCCATAAGAATTAGAGTAATTTAAACAAAGCATTACGTAATAATTTAAATTGATTGTTATATTAATTTATTACTTATGCTCGTGCACGTAGGAAATTTGTGGTTACCGTCGATATTAATATACATAGTGGTACTTTTTAGCTTTATTTTTTAAATCAAAATTGTATTATTATAAAGTAACAGTGTATGTTTTTTTTTAAAAAATTAAAGACAATATTGTGGTCTTGTGATGTTCTTGGAACCAATCAATTTAGTTCAAATCAATTCTTTGTTCTAAATGTTGCTATTTTAAGACTATTGTTATATCTTAAGCCGCGTGCACTATAGGTGCTTTGTTCAATGTAAACATTATATTCCACAGCTTTATTTAAGAGTAATATATGGCTTTTTGTGTTATTTATAGTAGGTACAGGTATAGTTTTTGGAGATGTAACAATAATGGTTATCAGTTATCTGGTTACCATGGGCAGCCTGTTTTGAGAAAACTGCGATGGAACTGGTAGATAAAACGTGTCAAAATCTCAAAAATTACAGAAACTAAAGATTAATATTATTGTCAATTATTACCTTTTCAATTACTAAGTAACTATAATTGCAAAAAGCCAACATCACGTGGTATTCCCAGGCGGTCACCCATCCAAGTACTAACCACGCCCGATGTTGCTTAACTTCGGTGATCGGACGAGAACCGGTGTATTCAACATGGTATGGACGTTGGCGATGTACATAACGAAATATACGTTTTGGTGCTACTATTGAGAGCTCGTTTTCATAATAAAAATAAAACGCAATCTAAAATAACTTTGTCACTTCGTAGCAATCTTATAGAATATTTTACATTTGGTTAAGACTGAATAACGAGGATTATAAAGGGTGTAAGGGACGTGGTAACGAATACTGAAATAGTGTATTCAGACCATCATTCTCAGTCGAAAATCGTTGGAATTATATCGAAAATTTAACGTTTTATGCAATCAGCTGTCAAAGGTTAAGGTCATTCCTCGTAGATATCGCACAAAACTATATTTGTACTCCGTACAAATAGTCTACGCACACTAGCAAAAGATGGCGGTAAGGGGGGGGAAAGCCCCGCGCACTTTAGCTGTTAGATTAACTACATTGCTGTGTTTGACTGTACGCGGTATTTATTGAATTATTTTTGGTAAAATGTTCTGTTTACTCATGATGTGATATCATTTTTCATCATTTTTAACCAAAGACATAAGAAAAAAAAGATGACTTTGCCGGTTTCAAAATTCCAATGATTTTCGATTCAGAATAATGGGCTGAATACACTATTTCAGTATTCGTTACGATGTCCCTTACAACGTGCATATTCAAGATAATAAGACTGACATTTATCTTATCTCATTGACTTCCAAACAGTGGTAACAGCAAGCGAGTTTTAGAGTGTGTTACGTGACACCGCAACAAAAAACAATATAAACAGTAATGTACGTGGTATTACCAGCCCAATTAGTATGTTAAATATCTACTCCCGATATTATTTATAATACAATTTCTCACACAGAGCTGTCTGAAGGCAGAGCCTGTACTATGGTAACTAGATTGCTGATAGATAAGCTTATATATTTTTAAATACATACATATTATAGACGAGCTATATCGACTTCGTTCGTGTGGAATTTGGGTGGGTTCGATTGCCGGACCGGGTAAAATTTTAAAGGGTTTTTCTGAGAGAAAAATATCCTAAGTTACTCCTTATATAGACAGCTACCTTAGAAAAAACAGACAGACAGACAAAAATCTAATATTTTTACTTAAGAAAGAGACATTTTTTATTTATTTGTATAGATAAATTACACCCAGACACAGAACAAATGACCGTGCTCAACACACAATATTTGTCCTGGGTGGGACTCGAACCCACAACCTCCGCCTTAGTAGTCAGGGTCACTAACCAGTAGACCAACAGGCCTGTCTTTAAGGGCGAGGGAATTGTAAAGGTTTATAATTGTTTATAATTGAGTTATCTTATGGCAATTGCAGATGTGATAATATTAACTTGTGTAGCTAGACCCAATTTAGATTCGTTTCTGTTAACTGTACAGCTAACGGTTAACAAAAAATTATAACACGATATAATTCCGCGGTTTCCAGGTGCTCCTTTTAGAGGCTGGCGGAGAACAACCTGACGTGACTCTTGTACCAGCTCTATGGCCAGCTTTACTCGGTTCCAATATTGACTGGCAGTACTCCACCGAGCCTGATGGCAAGAGCTGTCTTGCGTATCCTGAAGGACGATGCGGCTGGCCGAGGTAATATTAGCAGTCTTGTTGCCTTGTATTCCTATGGGCATAAAGTAGCCACCTATTTTAAAAATATATGTAACATTTAATTTTACCTACATTTACAAACAAATATTTATATTTCTATTTGAATTAACCTTTTACATTTGTTCTTTACATTTTACTACACATGTTTAAATTATAAGATGTTTTAATACTCCAACGAGGCTCTATTAATCTAGATACCTCCGTTTTTAAGTTGGTTAAAACTATGGGTCTTATAAAATCTTATGGCCAATAGAGAAATTAAAATTTATCTTAGCGAAACAATTATATTTAATAATGGATGCTACTCTGTTAACTATTCATAGCTAAACTAGTAAACAGATTTTAATAAAATTAAGAATGGTTCTATGACATTCAAACCCAGCCTGCCACACGGAGTTCTAAATAAATAACAAGTCCGATTATCCTCTAAGCATATACAACACCTTTTAAAACCAGGTCCATGTTAATTGATTAGAGATACAAAACGCTTGGAGAAACAGATCGACTAAACACGTAGTGTTCTTCTAATAAATTTATTAGAAGAACACTACGTGTTTGGTCGATGTTATTAATTAATAACAACCTTTTCAGGGGCAAAATGATGGGTGGATCTAGTTCTATCAATTCCATGCTTTATGTAAGAGGCAATAGGCTTGACTACGATGAGTGGGCAGCCCTTGGGAATCAAGGATGGAGTTACAAAGATGTAAGAAACGTTCAGTGCTTGAGTTCTTTTTTAAGTTTAAATAACCAAGTTTTGCATGCGCCTTATTCTACCAGCACACGTATGACATACTTAAATCTTCCAGAAACAGATGGTAAGGTAGTAAATAGTAAGTTTGAAGAGCATTCAGAAGTTATCTATGTAATTACATGGATAACTTTGGACTAACTTTTAAATTTCTTAAACTTGGAAAACTTTCTGTGCTCAACTCGCTAAAAATGTTTTATGCTATTTACAAAGCGAGCAAGTCAGTAAGCCAGCAAAATCGATCAAGGGTATGTGGAGAATGCAATAAGAAGCAATATTGGGGTTAAGCAATTTTGGACTACTGTTTTGAAATCTAGCTTCTCCACTTATGTCGTTATGTAGTTTTAAAGGACTATGAAGAACGCCTGTGTATCGGTGTTATAACACGTTAGAAACGAAAAGATCCTGTTTTAACATCTAATTCAATTCTTGTTAGGTAAATATTTTAGTTGGTCTTAGTAGATTTTCATTTCGCCGCACTATAAAGCCGTACTATAGAGAAACAAAAAACAAGAGTTTCATCATTACTCAGTTGCATTTCTTTAATGGTTACGCCTGGTAATTTCTGAAAGATACTCATAGTTTTTATTACTAAGTTCCTTAAACATTTTGACTTCGGCTTCTTTAAAGGATGGCAGTGACATGAATTTCTTTCCTAGGTCCTGTCTTTCTTCACAAATAGGCTAACAATCTGAATATCGAAGGTCTGAATCGTAAAGGCTGCCAGTCCTTATATATTATTAAAATTAAGATATACAAGTAAAGGCTGCCTCTCACAAAATACGAAAAAGGATTACCACTTCTACCTCTTGTCTAACGCGATGTCATTTTCTTTCTATTACTCGTAGTTTCACAACTAAGTACCTTAAACATAATAGCTTTGGCTTAGAGTTTAAAATATGACAATTATATAAAATTTATTTTATAGGTGCTGCCCTTCTTCAAGAAATCGGAGAAAAATTTGAATATCGAAGGTCTAAATCGTAAATACCACGGAGTCAACGGCGAACAATCAGTCTCTCGGTATCCTCATGTAGACATTAACAATATCATGCTGGTTGACGCATATAACGAAAGAGGTTTGCCATTAATTGATTATAATGGCGCTCGTCAACTTGGTGTAATGCAAGCACAGACTATTTCACAAGACGGCGAGAGAAAGTCCACTAATAATGCTTTCATTCAGCCAATACGATACAAACGGAAAAACCTGATTGTAAAAGTCCAGTCGGAAGTAATAAAAATACTTATAGACGAAAATAAAACTGCTTATGGAGTTAAATACATCAGAAATGGAAAATCTCGTACCGCGTTTGCCAAAAAGGAAGTTATTGTAAGCAGCGGTAGCATAAATTCTCCAAAGTTGTTAATGTTATCTGGTATAGGACCTAAAGAACATCTATCAAGTTTGAATATATCTATCAAACAAGACTTACGTGTTGGGGAAAATTTACAAGACCATGTAAGCTTTATTGGTCCCATGGTAGGACTCTCCAATAAAACAGCAACAGTCATCACGCAGCCGGAACTTTTGGAAGAGTTGCTTAACTATGCTAAAATGGAATTGAAGCATGGGCCACTAGCAGCTAATGGACTTGTCAACATAGGAGTATTTTTGAAAAGTGATCATTACCTGCCAGCTCCAGATGTTCAAATATTAGTTCAATATGCATTTGCTGAAGAACTTGTGAATGATCCCGTCACTGCTCAGTCATCAAAGGTATATCCTACAAGTTTCTATGATAGTGGATATTCGATAATTATAAATTTAACTCCTAAAAGTCGAGGGAAATTATTGCTGAATCCTGAAAATCCTGAAGGTCCTGTATTAATTTATCCAAACTACTTTGGAGATCCAAGAGATATTATTCCTTTAGTTAAGGGTACAAAATATTTTCTATCACTGGAGAGTACGAAAGCTTTCAAAGATAAAGGAGCTACTTTAATAAGAAAGCCCCTACCAGCATGCAAAGGTCATCCTTGGGGTACTGATGAATATATTATATGCCTAATCAGAAATTATACTTTTTCAACTTTCCATCCTGTTGGCACTTGTAAAATGGGACCAAAGTGGGACGTGAACGCGGTAGTGAACCCTAGACTACAAGTGTACGGCATCTCAGGCCTTAGAGTTATAGATGCTTCTATAATGCCGCTAATAGTTCGTGGCAACACGAATGCACCATCTATAATGATTGGTGAAAAAGGAGCAAATTTAATTTATGAAGATTGGCTAATTTATTGAAAAAAATTATATTTGTATGATTTACCAGTAAGAATAAGAGTGTATTAAATTTAATTAATTGAAATGGTTTGTTTTATTTACTTCTTACTATTCTCAAGCTCAGGGCAGGGCTTCAAGGCAAGAGGAAGAGAGGTAGGAAGCAAAAAAGATGGGACGATGACATTAGACAAGTGGAACAGGGTGACACAGGAAAGGAAAGAATGGAAAAGGCTGGAGGAGGCCTTTGCCGATTGGCAAACAGATCTAGGAATTATAACCAAGCAACAGATATTAGCTTAAATAGTTTATTTAGTTTAAGAGTCCAGTGTTATTATAAATTTAAACCCATTGTAACTAGTTAAGAGATCTGAATAAAAGGCTATATTATTATATTATTATTAATCTCAAGCTTTGTAAACCTTTAAATTAATATCAGGATTATTATTGTTTTTTTATTTTATTGTCTAAAACCATTAATTAAGGTAATCTATTAAATACCAATAAACTATTAGGAGTTTATCTGTGGTATACCAGACACAACTCGGTTACAGCGCTGAGTGTTGTGGGTTCGATCCCCACATGGGATAACACTTTTTGTGATGCACACATTGTTTTTCAGAGTCTGGCTGTTTTTTTGTGTCCGTTTTATGTATGTATGTTTGTAAAGTGTAAAGCTTGTTTATCATACATACTCTGTGCCTCAATAGACGTGATATGCCTTTGGGTCTTGCAGGATAATACTTCCCGGGCTTTTTTCAACCCTCGTACTAATCGTAACGAGCATATACCCGTTGTATTGTTATAGTTTTGTGTAAATCAACCTCTCGCTTCAAATATTCTCTAAGTTATGTCCAAAATTTCCAAATTCCAAAAAAATCCAATCCGTGTGGTGACAGATTAAGAATACAGAGTGTCACCACCCCTATTCATCCCGTGGGTATCGTAAGAGGCGACTAAGGGAGAAAACTATACAGAACAACAGAACTGCAGAGAGAAGGAAAACTTGACACATACCCTATACCAACTGGCCAGCGTGGTATAGTAGGCCAAAACCTCCTTTCTAAGGAGAAGCCTATGTTCAGCACTGGACTTTTAAAGGCTGTTGATGATGATGTGTGATATCCAAAAGTAAACTACGTCAATACTAAGTGAGCAATCCTAGCAGCTCAGTCATAGTAGCAGTATGGTGTACATTTCAAATCGCCAACGTCAACACCATCGTAACATCATAGTCATATTCTGAACACCAAAATTTATTACAAAAAAGTAAGACTAGAGCACTGCATTGTAGGGCCCTTATATATCACAGGATAAAACTATTGAAAGACTAGAGTGTAAATTGTGTCAAATGCTCCTGCAGAGTTGTAAAACTACATTCAGGACAAATGCTTAAACTGCTTGATTTATTTTTAAGAAAGCGCATCATAATTCATCTAATAAATTATGGAATCAAGTTCCAAAACCTTCCATGCATATCGTTACGGTTTTCGAAACATTCACTATACCGCCTTAATCTTCTCTGGGTGAATTATTATAAAAATACACCTCGTATTGTTGTAAAACATGACAAAAGTCTCTGAGAAGTTACAGACATAAAGAATTATCTTGTTACTTTTATTTTTAACTTCGAAAAGAAAATTGATTATGAAATTGATAATCTAGTTACAAAAAGCAAAAAGCCAACATCACGTGGTATTCCCAGGCGGTCACCCATCCAAGTACTAACCACGCCCGATGTTGCTTAACTTCGGTGATCGGACGAGAACCGGTGTATTCAACATGGTATGGACGTTGGCAACAGCTGATATAAAATACTAATATACTTATTGTTGATAGGTCAGCCGTAAATAATATGCAGTGGACTGTATAACAAGTGGTATATTGTGGCTAACAAAATAAATACATCAAATTTCGGAACGACAATACTGGTGTGCTATGTAACGTGTCCGGTAGCGTAGTGCCGACGCACTGGCGAGGGCCGATCTCCCACGCACCCGACGGCCAGCTGCCGATGCGTGACGAAGATGCCCGAACACTTATATAAAATAAAAATAATAATATACATTATACTAGTACTACTCCAACTTTGTTATTATCTAATCATTTGTCTATCAGGAATAACGTAATTTCCGCAAGGTTTTTAACATGGTGTAGGTATGTGCGCTCATTGATAATACAAGTAAGTCAAATAAAATCGTTTCCAAAAGAATTGTTTTAACTTGAAAGGGTTTTTTTGAGGAAAATTAAAATTAAAAAAAATATATTCGACGCTCGATTGGCCTTGCTCGAGAGGCAAGGAGAACCATCTCTGTGTATGAAAAGTGTCCGTAAAAACGCGTCCAATAAGGGTGGCGCTGCTGTAACCTAGGATAAATTTATATTGGCTTAAATAATAATTAGACTGCGAAAATAGTCAATGACTTTTACAGACGAAAAATAATATGTGTAATAACTTTGAGACACTAAAAGTATTATAATATTTTAACTCTCCACACTTCATTCCATGTACAACAGCCATGATCATATCGTAGGTTTTCGTACGCCAGCGACCTCTATTTTCAGTATACAGGTGGACACTTTTTCAACCTTTCCCCCAAAAGAGTCTAGTTCACAGTGTCCAATTTTTTTAATTCAATAATAATTTAACACAGTGTTTTTCTTTCCATGTCAGTTTCTCTATCCTACTTTAATAATTTTAGGCGCGAATTTTAGCGCCGCAATGACTTTTTCCATATTGTTTATATATTATTGTAGCGCCATCGCAATTTAACGCATTTTGGCGGATGTTTAAACATACACAAAGATGATTCTCGTTACCTCTACACTCCAAACCTTCAGACATTTGATAACAAAATCACTTAAACAAGCAGAATGAACATAATTATGTTCCTTCTTCTGAACGATAAAAAAGAATATGCAGTTCATTGTGGCTAGCGCTGGTAATGTTTTTTGCGCGATTCAATGTCATGTGTCTGCCCATGGCACGTGTCCGGCCAATAATAATTTGGACAATCCCCAGAAATATTTGTAAAGTTAAACTGCGAGCCTTTGTTCAATATGAAGCGATATGTTACTCTAACATTGTGATCAGTTCCTTTCCACCCACTCTACAACAATGCTACGTCACCAAGCCTCATGACGTCATTTCTGATTGTATAACAATAATAAACAAGTAGTTGAGATGAAATTATACTAACTTTAGTAGTAGCACCATTACGTACATTTAAAAACAGTAATTGCCAACGTCCATACCATGTTGAATACACCGGTTCTCGTCCGATCACCGAAGTTAAGCAACATCGGGCGTGGTTAGTACTTGGATGGGTGACCGCCTGGGAATACCACGTGATGTTGGCTTTTTGCATCTCGACTTTTTGTAACTAGGTCAATTTCATAATCTATTTACTTCATCATCAATTTTCTTTTCGAAATAAACATTATAAAATACAAGATAATTTTATATGTCTGTAACTTCTCAGAAGCTTTTGTCATGTTTTATACCAATACGAGGTGTATTTTTATAATAATTCACCCAGAGAAGATTATAGGGCTTAAGTGAATGTTTTGAAAACCGTAACGGTATGCATGGAATGTTTTGGAACTTGAAACTATAATTTATTAAATTATTATTGGGCGGACAAGTGACATAGGCAGACACATGACATTGAATCGCGCAAAAAACATTACCAGCGCTAGCCACAATGAACGGCATATTCTTTTTTATCGTTCAGAAGGAACATAATTATGTTCATTCTGCTTTTTTAAGTGATTTTGTTATCAAATGTCTGAAGGTTTGGAGTGTAGAGGTAACGAGAATCTTCTTTGTGTGTGTTTAAACATCCGTCAAAATGCGTTAAATTGCGATGGCGCTACAATAATATATAAACAATATGGAAAAAGTCATTGCGGCGCCAAAATTCGCGCCTAAAATTATTAAAGTAGGATAGAGAAACTGACATGGAAAGAAAAACACTGTGTTATATTATTATTGAATTAAGAAAATTGGACACTGTGAACTAGACTCTTATGGGGGAAAAGGTTGAAAAAGTGTCCATCTGTATACTCTCCCGAGGTGGTTTCATTACCACCAAATTAGGATCTGATTATGGGATCGTAGAGAAATCAAGGGAAACCCTCAAATTTTACAGCCTCCGACAACGTGTTTTAGCTTTTTTCTCTAGTTATATAGGTATTTGCGTTAAGTAGTTATTATGTCATGTTGCTGAGCTGATGATGGAAGGATCCTTGACCTTTAGGAGTTCGAGGCTAACGCTTTCAAAAGGGACTATTGCTATTATAATGTTAACTGTTATATTGAGGGTCGCACTTATTATAGGTTTTTTTTACTTACATTTGTAATTATTTTTTATTTTTAGTTTGTCAGTATTGTTTGAAGTCGGTTCAATTTTTTTTAAAGGATTTATAACATGTAGTAAAGAGAATAATAGTAACATTTCTGACATCGGACACACAACGCCATCAAGTTTCAAACTAAGCGGAGCTTGCACTATGAAATAACAGATTGACTGATATAATACTTTTATTTCTTATGTAAATACATACATAATATACATAGAAAACACCCAAATTCCGAAACAAATATTTGCTCATCATACAGACATTTAGTCTGACCCGGGAATCGAACCCGAGACCTCAGGAGAAGAGACGCATACGCTACCACTACACCACCGTGGCAGACAGTATATTTGTACTGAATTCAATAGTATCCTCTATCTATATTGAAGGTGAAACGTTGCTGGAAGTTGAAAAGCTATTGAAATTAATGTAAACAAATCCGAGGACTTACTTGTATTATAATTGAGCGTACTTGCCTACACTATGTTAAAGAGCTTGCAGAAGTTACGTTATTCCTGATAGAACAAATAAATTAGATCATAACGTAGTTAGAGTAGCAGCAGCATAATCTATATTTCAAGTCAACCGTCGCCAACGTCCATACCATGTTGAATACACCGGTTCTCGTCCGATCACCGAAGTTAAGCAACATCGGGCGTGGTTAG